TAATGTTCCATGCTACAGTCTACTTGAGTGGTGCGCAGATCACTTTGTATTGGGTGTTACTGCCACCTACTGGACTGGAGTGGGACACCTTTAACTGGCCAATCAAGATTTTTAACCTCCCTGGAAAGTGACAATACACACGTTCTAAATTTGACCCACCAAAAGAGAGAGAAGTGTTGTTAACAACCTTGACAACAAATTCAGATAAAAAAAAAACAAACATTTAGAGTGATGCTTCAAAAACCAATCACTTTTCTCCGCCCTCAAATGCTGCGAGCGTGTCCGCAGAATGCACAGTAAGCACACGCTGCTCAACAGTCATCAAGTGTCAATTAAACATGGCCTGGAAAAAGTTGATGCGACTTTCTCAAAACCACCTCACATTTCTGCCTTCCCTCCGTAACGCGCATACACGCTACAGTCTACTTGAGTGGTGCGCAGATCACTTTGTATTGGGTGTTACTGCCACCTACTGGACTGGAGTGGGACACCTTTAACTGGCCAATCAAGATTTTTAACCTCCCTGGAAAGTGACAATACACACGTTCTAAATTTGACCCACCAAAAGAGAGAGAAGTGTTGTTAACAACCTTGACAACAAATTCAGATAAAAAAAAAACAAACATTTAGAGTGATGCTTCAAAATCAATCACTTTTCTCCGCCCTCAAATGCTGCGAGCGTGTCCGCAGAATGCACAGTAAGCACACGCTGCTCAACAGTCATCAAGTGTCAATTAAACATGGCCTGGAAAAAGTTGATGCGACTTTCTCAAAACCACCTCACATTTCTGCCTTCCCTCCGTAACGCGCATACACTTATGGCTGACAACGGGGCACTCTAAAGCGGCCCCGCCATCTCGAAGCATCGCTCACGGCATCATAGGAAAATTCGTAAAGTGAAGTTTATTAGCCAGGCTCAACCTGTCACCATGATAACATGAACGTTAATGTTTTAAGCAAAGGACAGGAGAGCACGATCAACTGGATGGAATTTACACACCACACTAGAGCTGGTTTGAAAATAAATCCCATCTCTAATGCATCAATGTGGCCTCAGATATTTTTTAAACCCTGGAATGTAGATACTTTCTTCTCAAATATTAATGTACAGCAAACGTGAACTAAGGCTCGCGAAGACATACTTGATTGACAGCCCATTACCAGTTAAGGACATAACTACGCGCGGCAAAAAGTAATTTAACACCAGACGAGCACGACGGGAGCGTAGACCACCGCCAAGGTCCATCTAACACTCGTGCGGAAATTAATGACAAAACGTCCCTTTGGCCGACAGTGCGTGTACATGTTTATTATCACGATTACACCGGCGGAAATCAGCATGTAAGAAAAGCCAGCAGTGTCATTGGCCCGTGCATGTGAAGCATGTCATTAATTTGATTAACAGAGAGTTTGATTGACAAGCGCCACAGACCGATCAGGCGCCTCATGAGCCCATTTGAATCAGCCTCGGCTGCCATGCTACCTGTACTGATGTTGAGATTGGATTTCAACATGATTTATTTTACATTATATATATATATATATATATTTTTTTTTTTTTTTAAATTTTATATACACACACACACACACACACACGTACACACATATATTTCTGGTGATTCACCGTCCAATGTATATAAGCGGCCGCGGATTTCCTATCCTGAGTGTTAAGTGCCAGGTCAGTAGCACTGTAGCGTTTCCAGTTATTTTTGGTCCTCACATGTGTGCGTGCTCGCTGTGCCGCGCGTCAGCAGTCGAGCACAATCCGTTAGCTCGCTGCCAACTCGACCTTCCCGCGCCGCGGGTCAGCATCCTGGAGTGTCGCCAAGCTCTTCGGGAAGTTCGCACATGTGGTCTCTTGGGTGGCCCCCGCCGCCTCATCTCCCTCCTCAAGCCGCTTCCTTCCTCAGGCTGCCACCTGACCCACCCCTCGTTTCTCCAGCGAGTTTACCTGCGAGCTTTATTGCGCTTGGCTCACTTCCATGGAGCTCACAGAGTGGCAGGCAGCTGCTTTGTAGTTTGCATGTCATGATGGACAAAGGACAGAAACCACTAAACATTTGAACCTAAATAAAAATGTTTTTGCTTGATTTGGATAAAAACCGTGCACAAACAAATGTCATCTCTTATATTACAGGAGCTTTTGCTTTGGGTTATTCGAGTGCGCAGGGGTACCTAATGAAATGTCTTTTGAGAAGAAGTCCCCCCCCCCCCCCCCCCCCCCAAAAAAAAAAAAGTTTGCATCCCTCCTCCACAGCGACCGCATATTACGAACTAGTTGATGTCACGCATGCAGTTGTAGGAGACAACATGCACATATTGTCAAACGCATCAACAATTTCCAGCATGTTGACCGGAGGTCAGAAAGTGGGTTGAGGAGCAACAGCGACCGTTTCCTTTCATATCCGTCTGCAGTGTACACACCATGTGAATAAAGCGCGCGAGCTTCGCTTGGGGATCAATAAGGTTGCGAGGAGCAACAAACCCTCTGTCAAAACGGATTCTTGGCCTCGGTGGTGAAACAAATGCAAGTGTGTTTTTTTTTCCCCCCCCGTCGGGATCGATAAAAGTGTTCATGAAGAACACACAACGCTGGGAAATGATCTGCCGAGCGACAAAATGCTTGCGCTGACCGATGCTGCTGAACGAAACAACTTCACTCCACTGAAAATGTGCTTAAACCGACAAAGGCCTGCCTTTGGATGTCATGCAGTCATTCAGGTCGCGTACCCAAGAATATCCCAAACAAGACAGAGTACGGGATAAATGTTGTTTTCTGTAGTCTTACAATTGGAGAGCATAATTCGAAATACAACCCCTCGGGCTCTATTTTTGCGTATTTGCCAATTTGGTAAATTGGTCTGCGCCACGCTGGGTGCTCTGGAATGGCGAAGATACGCTCAGCGGAATGAGAATTTGGTGGTGGAAAGGCAGTGAAAGTTATAACTGCTATGCTGGCACAGTTAGCCTAATACGACTTTGATCGGGGCACAGGCAGACAGATTCTGAGTTTTAGTCATTAATATGATAACGATGGGCATCAAAATCTCTGGGTTACTGTAGAAATCAGTTCATTCCCAGCGTCATTAATATAGCTTTGATTCCTGGCAAATGAAGTGGGCTCTGTTCACACCCACAACGGGACAAACAACCCTTTTTTTAAATATTACGAAATTACCGTGTAGTCGTCAATGCACGTGATTGGTACCCTAAAATGTTTTGGTGTGATAACTTTTAAGACTGGACTTGTATGAGGTTGGGTACCTGTTTGGCCCTGGGAAAGGGTACAAACGTTTAGCTTTGACAGTGAATAAGCAGCCTACGGATGTCGTATTTAAAGGGTAGCTTCAAAGGTCTTCCTTTTTGTACCACTGAGACTTGATTTTCACGATCTTGGAAACAAAACCGGTACCTTTTTCGGACCTGGAAAAGATCTGATACTGAGTACTAATAAAAAGTAGGCCTGAAACGGACCTTTGTTGTACACCCCTGTCTCTGTCACAAACAGTTAATCCAGACATTTATGGTGATAGATTTAAATTCTTAGCATATAAAGCCGCTCCCATGCATCTGCCTCATGAGACTTGATTTGCAATAAATGTAGTCATCCCCGCACTGATGATGTCTGAGCCGCGCGTCACTGTGCGAGGACGTTTCCTCGCCGTGACGAGGCACGCGAACACTCGTCAGCGCTTTTCTTGGGCCAGCTTGTGTGTTCAAAGCCAAATGTTCCCTTTTGGCTGAGAGGCTTCCCCTTGCGGCGGGGCGGGGGGGCAGCTGTGGCAAGGGACCCTGCCAAGGGCGACGCGCTTCCCGTGGTTGTTCGGCTCCGTAAAACGGGTCATTGAACGGCTAAATGGACTCATTATGATGTGTAATTAAAAGAATACCGCAGACGTCTCCGAGACTCAATCAACCCCGACACCACCACGACGCTGGGTTCCTAAAAGTCGTCCAGGGCCTCTGCTGGACAGCGGCTGCCACTTAAACTGTGGGCCCCTTTCACTGACATGCAAACAGCAGCCTTGCCGGCTAACTGAATTGCAATATCCATTGTCTGCTCATTTGCTGATAATCTCGCCCATTTGCAGATTCCAATTACTGAGGGTTGAGATTGAATTCTGCCCGTGCCCGTGTCTTTCATTTGATACATGTTATACCCTGCGAGTCAGGAGGGGGCGCGGATCACAGCAGAGTCGCAAGAGCACCGTAGGAATACTGATTGCGCTGTAATCTCCGGGTTGTCGTGTGCGACCATTCATACGCATGTAGGTGGGAAAATTGCAGCCCTCATCGGATCCATCGCACGGTGAAGCACAGAAGCAAATAGGAGAGGGGGGGGCGGGTGGGTGATAATCACGTACATTAATTTAAGCGAAACAAAGCTTCCGTTTTCTCTAGTGACTGAGGATTACGCAAATGGAAATGATGTGCGGCACTACACCGGGAGTCCCAAATACGATAAGAGGCGGAGTGATGCGTGATTCACTGTTCAATGTAACTTTGTTTGCGAACAGTAAATCAAAGCCCATTTGCTTGTTAATGAGGGCGGCACAGTTCTTTCAAAATGGCGGCCTTATGGACAATTTTCCCACCCTCCTCCTTTCTAGTTGTACCGTAGAGGGTACAAGATGGCTTGTGAACATTCTCATTCATCCAGCTCATCCCATTCTCAGTGACAAGGTTCGGAAATAAACCAGATGGTGTGCGGAGCCCACAAACGCAAATTTAGATAAACTGATACAAAAAGGTTGATTTACAGAAAAAGGAAGCATCAACAAAGTATGAACAGAAATTGCTGGCAACCAAATATGGACATAAAGCGCCGCTGGAGAGGAACGCCCTCCACTCCAGCTGGTGCTGAAAAAACAAACCAAAGACAGAGGCAAAATCTAAGAGCATTGAATCGATGCATATCTGGATGACAACGAAGACTAGTCTCATGCCATTATTCTTAAATATTGCCTTTAAAGACTCATGGTGTCAATATTGTGTTGCAGAGTCCAGTGAAGGAGGTGATCAACATCTGGGATGCTCTGGTCCATCAAAGACTTCCAAGCAGATGACGAAGGTAAATGTGGGGAGATTTTGCAACCTGCACCTTGAGTCACCTGATGCTTTTCAATAAGCAAAACAACCCCCCCCCCGCCCCCCCAGTTCACATCCGCAACCCACGCTTTGCCCCCTCCCCTTCTAAGAGGATCACCGAGAATCCATGGCTAAGCCGCTGGTCAATGCACATGATAAGTATATACAGTGGCAAAGACAAATCTCTCAAAAGGACGTGTCATCCTGTACACCAACCAGCACTCTGTAGGCGGGGTTGTTGTTGTTAGTGTGTCTTGTTTGCGTTTGCGGCAGCCACTGCAACCTCCATGTGCACTTACAAGAATAATTAAACTTAATGACAAAGGCAATACAATAAAAAAAAAAGGTATTGAGTTTCTGGAACAGAGGATGAATCCGAATACTCATTTTACAAAATTAACTGCCCCCCTCAGAACATTTTTCAGCAAATTTTATGTATTCAGCAGAAAGACAAAAACAAACAAATTGTGGGGGGGAGGGGGTGATCAGCACTCGGTTTTATGTTCTGCGCATCAGAAGGAAAGCGGAGATGCAAATGATTAAACCCGCATTGAAACTTTTTAATGAAAAGCATGCATCTCCAAATTGCTCATTTCTATTTATTTGTTTATTTATTGGAGGTTTTTTTTTTGTTTTTGTTTTTACGGATTTATTTGATTGCATTTTCATTGAAAGCGCACCCACACACAATTTGGATGGACAGTGGGTGCACTGCTATTGAAAAAAAAAAAAAAAACATATACAGGAGTATATATACTGCCCTCCATAATTATTACACCCATGCTTAACCCTGGAGAACCCAAGAACCTTTTTCTTCTTTGGAAAATTATGAATTTTACATTAAATGACTGCTTCATGTTCACTGAACACCAAAATATATGTTTTTTTTTTCAAATCTTCAATGCCTTAATCCTAATTTAGCACAAGGGCCAAATTTGACCCTTTGGGATTTAAAGGTAGCATTTGACTAGCAGAATTTATAGGGGCCAAATTTGATCCCGTGGGTTCTCCAGGGTTTTAAGATGTGTTCTTTAGCTTCTAATACATTCAATTTTGTGCCCTGCGCTTGGTTGGCGACCATTTTGGATCTACCTTCTGCTTGAAGACAGCACGCCCGCGACCCTCGTCACGATCAGCCTTTCGGCTAATGGATGGATGGAAAATTCATTTTTTTTTGTTTTCTAAAATAATATAGGACCATTTTTTTTAATGCCGCTTGTGCTGTATGAAAAAAAATACTTTCTTTCATCGGACAATAAAATGTAATTTCCTGTTAATAATCATTAATAATAATATTGAACTCACGATATTCAACCCCCATATCACATGCTTTTCCAATCTCGCGCATCCCTAATATACATGAACCTACCCTCGTAAAGTGATGCTGTAACAATTATAGCTGGCGCTTTGCATCGAAATTACATTTAAATTTGAAAGGGACTCAGTTTAGTGGCTATTAATAGAAGAGTGGAATGACTGTGTAAAATCAGGCGGGGGGAATAAACGATGCTATTTATGGGCGGAATGAAGAGAGGTAAAAAAAATGGATTAAAAAAAAAAAGTGCAGGTTCTGCACAATTTGCTGGCTGTAAAATAAAAGCACAACTGCCTGATGAGGATAAAGCGTGCTGACATCCGGCCCCATGTACAAAGGCAGATAATTGTCTTCTTAAAGAGAGAGGAAAAAAAAATCCAGAATATAACGCCTGGTGTTCACCCCGAGCGCAAACATTTTATTGGGGTTACGCGTCCTCGTGAATCATCATTGACTCTCTCGTAGAAAGCGGAACAACCTTTTTCTTCCTAAATGACTCACTCGTTACGCGGCGAATCAGTGGCGGCGCCCCATCTTATCATTTCCCCCCAAAACTTTACTTTATCTGATTCTACTGTCGTCACAAGATCCGGCAAAGGCCGCCGGCGTCGATGCGGCGTTCGAATTTTCCGGCAGACGCAGGGAGGGGGGGACAACAGCGGAACCGAGAGCCTGAAGAAGTGTGATTAACCAAGCTGTGTTGGAATAAGAAAGACTCGTTTGGCTCGGCATTGTAATGAAAGCGGTGCTTCATCATCGTCATCGTCATCATGCAAATGAGCTGCGCTGCTCACAGAAACACATCTGCATTTAATACATATTAATACTGCTTTTTTTTTTTCCCCCGCCGCCCCTCTGTTTTGTGACAAAATGAATCTATTTTTAAGAGCTCTAACATTGCTGTCCGAAGAGGGGAAAAAAATGGCTCTTCAAGTTCAATGTTTTTCATTATTTAGCTTTAAAAAAAAGTTGGACAGGGACGATATGCTTACAGCGCCAAAGCGGCCGCGTGGCGATAAAAAGTAGAGCAACTTTTTTATTGCGGTCGCGGGTCGTTGATCAAAATCAGCTATTTTAGCAATCGTCACTATGACTTTTCTCTGTCTGTGGTACAAAATTAATTGTGTTTGGAATCATTTCAATGTCGCCTGTAAGTTAGCATCCTGCATTTGTAACGCTAGGCAAACTGTCATAAACAACTCCGAAAAGTATGACTAAGACCGGTAATAAATGAGTGAGAGGGAAAACTATGGCGCAGACAACCAATGACGCAGCCAAATATGCAAATAGCCCTTCTTAATCTTAATGTCGTCGTCATTCCGCCGAGGGGATTTTTGAAATCGAAATGCAAATGCTGAATGTAAGCAGACGAGCAAACAAGCGCGCTATTTATTTCCATCAGCGAGTCGAAAAGGAAACTGTGTGCGCTAATGAGGGATGAATTATTAAACACATGACCATCCCACATAAAGGGAGACAGACTTTAGTGTGTCGTAAAGCATTTAATACATGTTTATATCTGCCCATTGATTAAAGCGTTACTGGACTAGTGAAATGTTACAATGTGGCTTGTTGGGATGCAGCGAGGCTCTTTACGGCCCGTGACCCGTGAGGGGTCTCCGTTCGAATTTTTCAGTGTTCTTTAAGCGCCGAGGAGATGGCCCGTCGCAAAGTCGCCATCCTGACTGATGCTGTCGCGATGCTAATGAGAGCCACTTTGTGGCTTTTAGTGCAAAACCAGTCCAAAGCCAAAGCGCAAGAGGTCCTGGGGACGTCTACTTGATGACATCAGAGAATAGATTAGGGAGCAGTATGGATTGGTCCGGCACAGATATGGATTCCGCAGAAGGACTCACACTGGTGGCATAAAGTGATTGGAAAACATTAGCGTGATTGGCAATTATCGGCCTTTTTGTCCATCAACGGAATTGAACCTGTCCTCCATGTTGACCCCTTTAAATCATTCGGCACCGGCCATTTTTAGACCCTTTATTACCCTAAATCTAAATAGATTGATTCAATGTATGGAATCTAAAAAGACGTCTAAACACGTCTTTGGTAGTGAATGAGTGTTAATCAATATCTCGTTGTTGCGCCTGGCCTCCCAATACATGTCGTGCATGTCTCAGCTGAAGAAACGTTGGAGTCTCCACGGCAGATGGGGACTGGTTGGCTGTTATCGTTCTTATTAGGTTTTACAGTAGCGGTTGAACCGATTAGTCGGCGTCACTGCCCCTAAAACCAAATTGAATCGGCAAATCCATTTGGATTTAAAAGATGTGCGGCCATTAAGTTGTATTTTTTTTTTTTTGTTCAATACAATTAAATGGAATTAAGTCTGCAAGTTATTGCAAACTGCAGTCAACAAATCCATTCATTGTTATTCATTGATTAGCGCACCCTTTTTTGGCAAATTCGTTTGAGAAAACAGAGGGCTTCTTTGTTCCTGGAACAAAAAATGCTCAAAACGAAACTGTATGGTTCCAATTTTCTGGTCCGTTTACGTGCCCTATTCTTTTCTTTCTCGCCACTCAAACAACTGTTAGCCTGAACGCGAACGGTGCATCGCCACACAGCGCCGAGGCATTTCGCCGAATAACTCGATAACAATGGCAAAGAGCAGTGAATGGGCCAATCAACAACGCAGTACAATGGCTAACCGGTGACTCGGCATTCTATAAATGACGTCACTGGCCGGCAATTGCCGAACAAAAGCATTTTCGTTGTTAAGCGCGTTGCTAGGGGTCTAACAATGAACCTGGGTGGGTTGCGTTAAAAAAATGAATTAAATAATTTGAACTCTAAGTATTACTCAAATTGATGGTTGGTCAAGTTGACTTCATGCTTAACCTTACCTATCATCATTGAACCGGCGAAATGGCGCGCGCATCACGATGAAGGCCACATCCATCAATGGCTCACGTTAAGACATGGTCGCGTCAGCGCCAATACGAGTGCTGCGCCGACACAAAGAAAGTGCATGTTAAGCGCACGTGGCCTTTTCGGAGGACACACTCGGGCGTGTTCTTTTTTGCGATAGCGAAGGGAGGTAATTGAGGCTTTGCTCCATCGCCTGCCGGATTAGAAAGGTGAGGTCGGACACCTTTAAAGAAGAAGGATTCCGGACAATCTGCTTCAGTTTCCGCCGGCATGGTTTGGAATACCTTTATATTTCTCAATTTGGATTCATGAATGAATAGAAAAGAGGTTCAATTCTATTATTTAACTCTGTCGACCTCTTAAAATCCACTGTCGGGTCTGATGTTCTGGTTTGAGGTGCCAGCTGTTCTCACCTATAAACAAGGACACTTCCAAAAGCAAATCTTATGCGCTTAAAAGTGAAATACAACAGAACTGTACTTAACAAATGCGATTTCATGGATAAAAAGCAACCACGACATCATTGTGGACAGTTTCAAGACGAAATGGAATGTTTCTTCTCTGAACCTTTGAACTAGAAATTCAATTTGACTCTTATGTGGTTAGCGTTGCACTTTTCCATTTTGCTATCACTGGCAAATAATAAATAAATAATAATTGCGCATTAAATCGCAATATGGAGGGGATTAAAAAAACATTAAATCACAGTTAAATTACTTTTTAAATTCAGCCCGAAGTTTAGACATCGGCAAATAAGTGTTTTCCATGTTGAATGATGCATCTTTACA